ATTTTCGTCAATTACGGGTGGGGCCAAGATCATTTCAAGCATGTTACTGGTACTTCTGATTGCTCCTTAAAGCACTGGAAACTGCTGAAATCATGACCAGGGGGCTAGATAACTTTGTTAAGAGGCTTGGTAGTGATGCAAGAGTCCAGGACTTTAGTAATTTTTTCTGAGCCCAGCCCTGAGGGGGGTGCTCAAGCCCCCTCAGCCCCCCCCCCCTAAATACGCCTCTGGGTAGATACCTATAAAAACCTATACAGTTGTTATTATACACATCCAGTGTCTTACCTGAGGAAGGTGAACTACTCAACAAGAAGACAACCACTTGTAGTGACAACATTGTTGACTAAAGAAATGTCTGGGTGTGTTATCAAATCATGTGAAACTGTTGTGATAGCTCAGCAGATAGCTTTGTAGATAGATTTACAGTGTACTGAGTATAGTGTGGCCCACTCCCTGTGTGTACGTGACTAGATGATGTAACAATAGCAGCAACAATACTGCATAATGTTAAAGGAGTTTACCATTACAACTTATACAAGAGAGACCATTTGGTGCAAATACCGTATAGCCAAAAATTTTCGAGGCTTAAAATTTCGTGAATAATGAAATTTATGGAGAAATTTTAAATTCCGTGATAAATATTTTCTTGATTTTATTTTAATAATAATAATGACCACGCCTTATTTAATTAAAACACGGCAGATTCAATGTTTGAGACGGAATCTTGTGTCAAGGGGCACCATGTCTACAAATCAGTGTGGACACCAGTGATGGGGAAGATCATCATCTTTGACCTAGGCAGTATGCTTAAAATAGCAATACAGAGTAACAAAGACATCAGCTTGACCCGAGGGGTCCGCAATGGCTCTGAAAAGTGTACGGGATTATGCTGATTATAGGATTATAATCAAGATTACTGAGATTAGATGGATTACGATGGATTACAAGATTATGAAGAAGATTATGAAGATTATCCTTGAGATTATCAGATTATTTGAAGGATTATGAGGATTATGAAGATTACTGTAGGATTATTTTAGTTTTCAATTTGATTATTAAAGGGTAACTACTATTTAAATACTGAAAATAGCTTAATTTTAGTTTGTAGTGTGTTTTAGTCTAGCTTGGTGTACTTGTCTTGGGATTTGCAGCACAGTGGGCCATACCATTCATCCTCTGCTTTGAAAGTTGGAACACAATCTTCATGATACCACACTTCACAGCCCTCACATTGTACCATTATATCACCATTATCTCCCTTTAAGCATTGTGGGCAGCTGTAGACATCAGTACACTTCCTTGAGGATCGTCTTGTTAAGAGACAAGAGACCTGCGAGTCTTAGCAACTGGAAACGGTGTCATTCTCTTTTGTTCCAAACATTGTAAAAAGTGTTGTCGCATCTCATTTTGTTAGAATATTATAGATGATGGATCAACATCATAAGCAAGAGCAGTTGCTATTGCAATAGCATAAAGTCCACATTCAGTGGATCCAGTTTGGTGTGGTGTAGACATCACATTGACTTTTATGTTGAAACATTTGCTGCTGGTTGTCAGTAGGTTTGCAATCACTACATCACAGATGGGAGGTAATG